CCATGAGTTCAAGGCCAGCCTGAACTACACAGGGAGATCCTGTCTCAAAAAAAAACAAAACAAAATTATATTACATTCCAGGGACAGCAAAACTACGGAAACAGTAAAAAGACCAGTGGTTCTCGGTGAGTGGGGTCAAGGGGAGGAATGAATATTCAGAAGGTGGAGGCTTTATTAGGGTAGTGAGAATACTTTGTATGATACTGTAATGGTGGATGCCATTATCTGTTTGTTCAAACCCAGAAAATGTAATACATCCAGAATAAGCCCCCGTGTAAATTATGAGCTTTGGGTATTATGGTGTGCCGGTGTAGGTATGATCATAACAAATATACCACTCTTGTAGAGAATATTGATACTGGGGGAGTTAGGCATGTGGAGGGTAGGAGTATATGAGAAACCTCTGGGCCTTCCTTTCAATTCTGGTGTGAATCTAAAAGTGCTCTAAAATGCCTCTGATAAACAATTAATATTATGTATTGCCAATTCATTTCAGGTGTTTGGGTTGTAGGCCACCCAACATTACAAGTTTCGCAGTTTATGTTGTTTGGTAGAATCTTAACTGGAGGCATTTGCAGATATTTTTACCCCATTTTCAAAGTACCCTGAATACTATTTTATTATTACTTTAGTAATAGAGCCCAGACACTATTCTTTTGACCATGGCCAACAATCAATAAATCCATCATGAGCCTACTAAAACACTGGCCCTGAGAGAGTTACTTGAAAATGTAATAGTCTGATCTTGAACCAAGGTGGGCAGATTTTATATATTTTACTGTTAGCATAGGAGGTGACATATACTTACACAAAAACATGGTCAGCAACTAACATTTCATTGTTAAATAATTTGAATTAAGGTGCATCCATTTTGCTAGATTTACAAAAACATGAAATTATTACATATGCTGTTTAGGTATCTGTATCTATTAATTGGCTCTAAATTTTAGTTAAATTTTACAATTAATAGCTTTCTATAGTTCTGTGGTATTATACACATATAAATCCTGTATACCAGTGTCTTTGTTAAAATAACTTACAAAGAATGATTCTATTATAAAGTCATAGCCTGGTGCTTGATATTATGTCTGTGCAGAAAAAACTAAAATTAACAAATATAATATCTGGCTTTGGTTGATTTTGGAAAAAGAAGAACTGACAGAGCTTTGCATATTTCATTGTCATCATAGCTATTGCTTTGTATTTATATATTTAGACAGTGCAAGTATGGGAGGTAGGTGGAAATTTTTATTTGACTAAGAATCATATAATATTACCCATAAACTCTTGACCATAGGACCATGTTTTAATAGCCTGTCCTGAAAGCAGAATATTTAGATAAGGGCTAAAAGTTCTTGAAATGTATCTCCCGTTGGTCCAAAGAGTTTGCCACTCACTGTCGAATTATGAGTCATTATGACGTGTGTCTAAGTTTAAGAAAAAAGAAAGAATAAAAAATGTTAACATCAGAGGGCCTTGCCCTTAGTAAGCTCTGTAAGAAAGCACTGTTTCAGGAGTCACTGTGGCTGTTGGCTGTCGGCATCATGAGACCTTTGAGACCTTTGAGGGTTGCACTTCCCAGGCTCCTGTGCCAACTGAATTCAACCCATGAGGGGCAGACGAGCAGAAACCAGACTGCAGGAGGACAGGAGAAGACAAGGTATCCCCAACCAATCACACTTATACGCAGATCCTTAAAAAACTGTATAGAAGTTGAGAAAAGAATAGTAGTCACCAGAGGGTAGGGAAAGTAGTGAGAAAGGAGGGAGGGGCAAGCTGGTCAACAGGTACTAAATTAGTGTGAGATGGAAGATACTGTACAGTGCAGTGACCATAGATACTGATAATATGTACTGTGCATTTCAGCTAAGCCACAGAAATGGATTTGGAACGTTTTCATCACAGAGAAATAATAAATATTTGAGGACATAGATACGCTTACTCCGATTTGAAGACTACATAATATATACACTGTATCAGACAGAATGTCACATACTACCCCATAAATGGGCACAGTTTTATGTTGTCACTTAAATCTTCAAAAATAAAGACAAGGTATTTCCTTCTTCTCTTTCTTTGACTCAAGCAAAAGTTGTGTCTGTGCCCTCATACACCATGGTTTCAGATTTTAGTTCTTCCTCATCCCTTGGAAATTAATTTCTTACCATTGCTACCAAGTTCATCATGTGATTTCTGATCATCATCGTACAAACAAGTCCCTGAATTAAATTCCCTGTTTTCCTGGCTGGTCTCTGACACAGTCCTATGTGTAAGTATGTGTATGCTAGGTCATGATACACATTTCTCACTTTGAGTAGTTGGTAAAATAGTTTGAAAGCCAAGGTCCACAGGAAAACATGTGGTACCACGCATGGGTGGCACTGAATCCATTTCATCAGTTCATCATTGATGGCTGACACTGAGCTGCAGAAGTTAATTTTGGAGACTTTCTTTCTTTTGAGGGAAACAGTATGGGAAAGTAGAAGATGTAATGATTGGAACTCAGGCCAACAAGAGTCTAATCTTGATGGGTGGCTGTGGGCAATCCATTTGACCATGTATTCTAGTATACTATGCTTCATTTGTGAATGGAACCAGAGATCTTAAAATCGGTACACATTTTTTAAGTACTGCTATTATAAAAAGTTACAGAGTTACTGCTCAAACTAAAAAGTTGGTATATGGCCTATGATAGCTCAAGTATTGGTGATAGTTGCTTTTGAAGGTTATTTGAAAGATTAAATAGTCATTTATCTATTCAGTTATATTTTTGCTACTTACTTTCCTCACTTGATCAATAGTTTTGTTTATATTATGTTAGCATTAAGAACTTACAATCCAATGTTCTAGTCTTACATTCTGGGGAAAATAATAAACATTGATATAGACCATGGGAATTGCAGAATTCCAGGTAATAGTGGTTATAGTTAGTAATGTCAGTTCATAAGTCACATCATAAAATTGAGGTATTAAATAAGACAGATCTCGCTGATAGGTGGATAATTTTTAATTTTTAATAAAATACACATAAAGTGTGAGGTGCCAACCTCTTTTAAGATTCAGATGGGAGGCTGAGACAGGGGGATGGAGACCCTGTCCCAAATTAAAGGAGGGATAATATAGCTCAGTGTAAACACCCTGAATTCAATCTCTAGTACCAAAAACAAAACAAAACAAATGAAAAACTAGGCGTATCCCCAAACCCTAAGTCCCAAGTATGAAATAACAACAAAAAAGGTATGCTATGATGTTTTTATCAGCAAATCTCCTGTTTTCTGCTTTCATATTTAAGGAAAGTCTATTACCAAAAGGCCACAAATAGTCTCATAATAGCAAAATTCCGAAAGATATCACGATGTCTCTGGAGAGATAAGCAATTGAATAACTACAATTCCGGAACAAGTGTGAGCATTTTCTTTATGCCCAACACTCATTGAAGTCAGTAACTGTTCAGTAACTGAGTTTATCTAAAAGGTAGATGAAAGCTTCCTGCCCAGCATTAAACCTTGCCCCACACAGAATCCAGATACTGTCAACTCTTTCCCAAACATATTTTACTTGTTTTATATATTCATCACTTTCTGGATGGTAATACCATTGCAAACTAAAATAAAATCATATTGTTGTGGGATGTATTTCATCTCTACCTGTGGAGAGTTATTTTTTTCCTTCAAGCAAATGATTTATCTCAATTTCTTTAAAGTCATCTAAAGTAATTTCAGTAGTTATTTCTGTTTTTTATATATTCCTGGATTATTCACTACTTCACTCTTAAATTTAGAATAGTAAATACAGAAAAAGGAAATAAGACGAGAGTAGATTTTGCCTTTGCGCACTGAAATTGAAGTACAATCTTATGAGTGATGTAACAGCCAAGGTGGAAAGGTCAACACACAAATAAAAGGTAATGAAGAGCAACAGAGAGAAATAAGTCAGTAACAACTGAAGATAATCAAGAGGTACTGATTTCTTATTAGAAAATTATCTTAGATCATTAGGTCTCTGATAAAAGACAAGGGAGATAGATACACATATTTAGCTGAGGGGCTTGGAGGTAAACTAGTGTCTCACTGGTATAGAAGCACATTATCATTCAGAGAAACACAGGCCAAATCTAAAGGCAGTCAGTGCCATGGCCTTCCAAACAAAAGTTAATATATTTCAACGATTTATGGCAAAAAAACCTTCAGAATCTGAGGTCATGTTCTGATTGGTCTTTCTTCCTTCCTTCCTTCCTTCCTTCCTTCCTTCCTTCCTTTCTTTCTTTCTTTCTTTCTTTCTTTCTTTCTTTCTTTCTTTCTTTTTGGTACTGGGGATGGAAATCAGGTCCTTGCACTTTTGCAAGGCAGGCAGTGGAACCACTGAGCTAAATCCCTGGCCCTATGTTCTGATTTTTAATGTGCAACTACCCAAAGAAGTACCAAAGCCCCCAAGACGTATTGATGATAACACTTAACAACTCTCTCTTGTCTAGTCAACAATACGTAATGATATTATTGGGGAAATCCTTCAGAATTGAATTATCCTCAGGAAGCCCATTTGTGGAAACAAATGAAGACTTCCACTGGGCAGAGAGGAAGCATTTTGCATTATCTAAAGAAATACTGAGTTCTGTAGGGTATTTCTAAGGATACATGTGATTGGATGCATGAAATGTGTACACTTAGTTTTATAATAATCATGGTGATTATTAGAAACTATCTTAGATCGTTAAGCCTCATCAGTAATTCCTAACCCTTTTAGAGAAGATCTTCTTGAGAGTCTGGTGAAATGTATGGACTTGCTATATTTTTTTTTAAAAGCATTATAACATGATCACAGAATTTTTTTTTTTTTTTTGGTACCAGGGATTGATGATCACAGAATTTTGAACAGTTTCTGGGAATTCTAAAATGCTCTGAACATCATTTAAATTCCACCCCCACAAACTCTTCACCATGGATTAAGAACCTTGTATTGATAACAAATTATGAGACAGAGTTTACATGAGCAAAACATACCACTCTTAATCTGTACTTCTACCAAGCTGAATTAAAAATTCTGACTTCATTTAGTCATATTCAAGTTTTTTTCGTATTCTCCTTGCACCTAAAAGGGAAACATATAAAGCATGATTTATGTATGTTTATTCATAGTACTTGTATTTCATATTAATATAGCAGGTACATTATGAAACATACACAAAATAGAAATGATGCAAGAATGACATGGAGACAACAGAAAAATTTTAATTGTCCTGCTAATCATGATGAAATCATACTATCAATAGTGAATATCTACAGGCAAATGTATGCTTAGGTCAGAATTCATCATCCCTGATAGATAATATAAATCCAGTCTTGGCTAATTGTGGATACTTTTTATCTATTTCTTGTTAGATCTCATTGTTCCACTTCTTAATATGTCTGGCAAAGCATTTTTAGAGGTTAGCAAAACAATTTTGGTCCTGATTTTCACCTGTGCTTTTATTATCATTACATCTCAAATCTTTGATTTCTTTTCACAAATCCTTGTTAAGCCATGAGCTTCACAAACAAGAGAGTTGATTGGTTAAAACTAGGTACAGTAATATAATTTAGTGAATCCATTTAAGGTGGAACCTGCGAAGTTGAGGCAATGTCACTGCTTCAAGAGATACACTCACCACTGAGAGAACAGAGGGTCCCCTTTCTGCCCTTGGAAGTCCACTTCTCTCAGTATTGTTCAGGTATGAGCTGTGGCAGATACTCTAGGGTCAATGATTACCATAAACTTATATAAAGCTCATATGTTTTTGTCATTGCATCATTACATTTTCATCATTAAAGAAGAAAAGAGATAGAATTTCTAATGTTCTCCCCACATCACAGTAAATTGTTTTGTTCACTCCCCTCCTGTGAATTACATACTGCCTCTGTTTCCTTGAAACGTCGTATCAAAGGGTTGTTGCACAACTTCTGGCCTGTGATTTAATGTCGAAATAAAAAAGAGCTGCGATTATAATTCTAACTATTCTGTTATACAAATGCCACGTATGCTGTCATGCTACTCCCAGACTAATTGAAAAGTAAGCAAAACCTTTTCTCAGTGTTCTTTATATGACTACGAGAGCTCTGGCTCCTTCTCCCCACCCAATAAAAAAATAAAAACATTTCCTAAGTCCTTTAAACTGAACATTTAAGTAATCTTGTTCGTTCACATCATAATTCTTAATAATGAAGACCTGCTAAATTCTCTGTCAAGTCATTTTATTATCTATCTCTCATCTTTTCATTAAATAAAGTCTGTCTCTTTTTTTTTTTTTCTGTTTTTGAACAATACACAATGTGCTAAGCATCCAGCTAACTGCTGAGGTTTCAAAGATAAATTGAACTTGTTCTACACCCTCCAGGCACTAACCATCTAGTAGAAGATGCTAACAAATAATCACATCAAAGTGGTAAGTGCTCTAATGGAGGTCCACATTGGTTGCTATGGGAGCAGAGTAGGCGATGCAGAGACCTCTGCCTGGAGAAGGCAGGGAGGACCACTAGGTAGTAGGTGAGTCTTGGAGGTGTTTCTGTCAGAAGGAAATATGGCCAATATAACACACTAGAAACTAGCAGGTAGACCAGGTTTCCCAGAATGCACGAACAGTTGTCTGTTGGGGACTTGCTGCTTCCTAACTTTATGCATACGATTTTTCTTCGTGAGGGTATTATAGCTAGATAGCACTCTTCACACACAATGCCTCCTCTATATAGAATGTCAGCCAAAGCAAACTTGCAGAACAAGCAAATGTGGCCATCAAGCCGTGAAAAAGCCACCTTCACCCCTTGATACCAAACTACAAAGAGAAGAGCAAATTCAGAGAGCATATTATGACTCATCAAAGTCCAGAAAGAAAAGCTTCATGGGAATAGAGCAGTCTGTGCGGCCTCCTGGAGTCCTCTTAGCCTCCAACCATATTTGCTTTTGTGTGTGATTTTCTGCAAAACAAAAGAACACATCATTTTCTTCCTTAGCACCAATTGTTAAATTGTGCTGTACCTCAGAGATGATGTTCATGCTATATGTTCTTCACTCTTCTTTTCATACTGAGCTAATGGAGCTGCCTTTTCATTTCTCCTGAGTTTAGACCTTATTTTATAAAATTCCTACTTGCTATAGTGCAGGCTACGAACAAGATGATTCTTCAGAGGAAAGACCTGAAGGGAGGTAAGGCACTCTCAGACCAATGTGAAGTGAAAGGGAGATGCAGTATCTATATTTAATCCCTGCTCACCATGATGGATTCCTTCTTTTTTTCCATTTCCATAGTTGTGCATATAATGTGTAGATACCAACTCTTATAAGCAGTGCATCAAAATTTTATCTGGGCTGAAGAATGTACACATGTAACAAAGGAACTGTTTTCTTTGCTTTCTCTCTGATAAAAGTGCCAAAAGGAATGGCTATTCTCTTCTTACTCACCAAGATGATCGTTCTTTCTGAAGTTTAGGGCATAATGTGCACAGGTGCAGGGAATAAAGGACACTTATTTACAAGGAAATAGAGGTGATGTCATCGATTTAAAAATTTGACAGGTGAGTTTGGAGCGTCAGAAACAGAAATTAGGCCCTCAAAACTTAAAAACTAATACTTATTAGTGAAATACGCATTAGGCATTTATTATAGACAACTAGGTTTCTGGCTGTTATTAGCGCCAACTTATTAGGCAGTTAGAAGCTAGGATTTATGTTATACATTTACTGCACTACTAATTTTGTTTACCATTTCTCACTCCATATTTCCCAGTTAAAGTTATACTAGCATACCCTCAGGCAGGAAAAACAAGTTCTTACAACCGATTCTTCAGGGCACTATATTCTATTTCTTTAGATGTGTTATTTTTTTGTTGTTGTTGTTGTCTTGAGGTTCACTTTGGGAGAGGCAGAAAATACGGAAAGTGGTTAAGAAGCAAGTAACAAAGCCTTAGAAATTTGTAGGCTGGTGATCCTCACCTGTCTTAAGCACTGTGAAAATGCAGCCCTACCTCAACCAGCAATGAACCAGTGCTGTAAACCATTTTTGCCACTTAATGATCACACGCTGCTTTTTCCATGCTTCTTGTCTTCAATTTACCTGGCCGTAGTTGTAGGCATCTTAGGACTGTGTTTCCCACCCAGTTGCTCATATAGCCAATTTTGTGAAAGTATAAATGGTCTTAAAATAGTATTTTACTCTTGGGAGGAAATCCTCAACTAAATAGTCACAGTGCACTTAGAATGACTAATTAAAGCCATTACTTCATAAAATAAGGGATAAATCACACTTTTCATAACACTACCTCATAGGGACAATTTTAAGAGTCAAGCACATACATTAATCTGAGTCTAAAAACTAGACCCCTGATTTAAAATCTCCTCATATTCTTTCACACTTCACGAACCTAAAAATAAAATTGTCTCACCAAACACTGACCTGTGGGTGAGACCAACGTACTGTATTTCAAGAAAAATTAAAGTAAGAGGTCTCAAAACCGCGATGTGCCAGCAGATTACAGTTTGCATCCTTAATTGGTCTTAAATGTAGGGTGAGAGAGAAGAGACTATAATCTGTGGGGAATAAGATTTATTTCCTCCATAAATTAAAAGCAGATTCCACGTCTCAGCTGCCCCCAACCCGCCCGCCTCGCCCCGACGAGATTGTTTTGCCATATTTTTGTATCTATTTTACCCGAAGATGACAGGTGAAGGAAGGTTAAAGTGCAGTGTCTAGTCCACAAAGTAAACAGAAGGGTCAGGGCGGGTTTATTTCTTTATAAGGCGCTCGGCCTCTCAGCTGTTTCTCCTTCACTGGCATTTGGAAGCTCACAGCCCTCTGGAGAAGAGGCAGATTTGGCAAGAATGTTCTTTGTGCCCGCCTCCCTTTTTATGGGGTGGAGGGGAGGAGGCAGATTTATAATGACAGCCTTGGGGGGTGGGGAGGCGAAAAAGTTTCAGCTAGCATGATAATGCCCGTTCTCTCCACAGTCAACGCCGGGCCACAAACAGCTCTGGTGCCACTCGGATCCCTCCCCATCCCCTCCCTTTCTCTCTGCAGGCTCGCGGTGGCAGGCGGAGGCACAGTTAAATTCCAGCACCTTCTTCACGCAGCCCAACTACTACGCGCTACTGCTACAGCCGCCCTCCCTTTCGCTTGGCGTCCTCCGCTCCCCAACCTCCCCGGAGGCGCCCCGGGAAGGGGACGCAGGCACCGGCGCCCAAGTCCAGCGGGGCTCGGTCCCCCCGCG